TTTATTTGATGCATTGAGGAATGCTGCAGTTGATTTTAATGCTTTCAACTTCGACACATATAATCATATGTCTGGCATAAAAAATATATATCACTGGGAGTGAAAATTACTTTAGCCTATCAGCTGCAATACAATTTGCAGGTGTATAACAACACATATTAAATGTGTTAACAGAGCCTCGGTTCATGGTGTGCTTGTTCATAAATTCCGCCCCCTTCCCTCCCACCGCCGTGTCCCGCATTTCTCTAGAAGGAAGGTGGTCACCCTAGTCGAGTCTTTTCGCGGCACACTTGAGATTTCCCTAGAGAAGGTACCTCATGCTCTCTGCTTTTCGTAAACTCGCAATTTTAGAAGGGACATCCCTAGCTTTGATTTCTTTATATGACTACTTTGGACCTATTCCTGATGTGATAATAAGATTTAAAAAGACCACACCATCAACGTGCTGGCATTTTCAATAGAACAAGGGTGCAGGCATGCTGCCGTTGCAAAGTTTCTCAGGAGTAAAAAGAAAACTCTTTATACAACAGTATTTGCTTGTCGGACAATTTTTATATAAGCATTATAAGACAGTTCTTGTGTTTTAAAGGGTTCTTTTTACTGCTAGAAGCCTGAGCCCATAGCTTTATTTTTGGAAGTTGTTCCTGCTGAGCAAGAGTTTGTGCAGTCTGTGCTTAGAATATAGTAGTGGGGATTGTCGTACAGGTAAGTAACACGAGAAAGAGATGAAAAGAAAAAAAAGAATTAGTCAACAATACTTATAGTCCAAAAGAAAGTGGAATAGAGTTATAGACCATTCCAGAAACGGGTTTCTGGCCACTGCCATTTTCACTGTTCGTGCACATGGCGTGTGTTTTGCCCACTTTCCAAAGTAGTGAACATATGTGTGCTGGTCTGTGGAAATTGCACGCTGGGCTGTAATTTTGTAAACATTGGAACAGTGCAAGGATGGGCAGTATTTTAAATCTGTATTTAAAATACTGTAAGTAAATTATATTTCATATTTAATTACATACTAGGAAATGTATTTGTTGATCATATAATTAAATACAGTGGAACCTCGTTGATACGCTCCCGGTTTTTGCATTTTCCCGGCTTTTACGTTTGGAAGCGCCGGTCCCGCCAAGCTTTAATTTCCTGCTTAGTGCGTTTAACTTCTCGGTTCTTGTGTCTAAAAAAAAACACAAACATAGCGCCAACGGCACCAGCCGATTCACACGACAGACCGATTTGCGGACGGATTCATTGCGTGACGACACGTTCGCGGATCGTCCGCCTCCCAAGCACGTTCTCACTGAAGGGGAGACGAGGGACAGCGAGATTTGACCAAACCATGCGCAGTAATACCGTCGTCCAAGAGCTAATACAACATTTGTTGCTACAGTTGCGGCACCATCACATTAATACAAAAAATAATTGTGTTGCTTCTGTTGGGTGCTGCGCGAGACAGAACACCTTGAGAGGGTTAGTGCAAAGTGCCACTGCCTTTACTGACCCAAAGCTTAACACAAGTGTGGTCCTGCTCGAGGAGAGTCGGAGTAGAAGCGACAAAGTCCTGGGCTTGCGAAGGGTGTCCTCGCCCCCATGCACTCACACACAACACCTCAATATACCACCGGAAGAAAAAGGTCTTGCCCATCCTTGTGGGTCTTGGTTTTGCCGGTTGAAAGGCTGGATGGATGAGCAGGACAGAACACGGTGTGCTAGGTGAGTGTTGATAGAAGCTTCCTGCAGCTTTCTTCACACGTGGAACCAAAAATCGTGCAACAAAACGAAATAATGTGCCATTTTTGTTTTGCTCGTCAAAAGAAAAAAAAGAAAAGAAAAAAGTGTGTTGTCAGACAAAACCTTTTTCGACTCAATCCCCGCCAAAAATTTGTAAAAAGCTCAAACCAAAAATGCCAAGTGCCTTTTCACTCGCAGATTTTTTTTTACGGTGCATTATTATGTTTCGTGTTTGTTCATTTGTTGGTTTGTGTTGTCGCGCGGTTCTTGGTTCCACACATGAGCAAAGCTGCAAGAGCTTTGCCTGGCTGATGTGCTGAAGGTTCTGGTACTCCTCCGGTTACGTGTAAAGAAGCTACGCCGCAATCTCTCCTGCATGTGCACTATAGCCTGTCATCCAGCGAGACCTTTTTGCGGCTTTGGTGTACCGAAGTGTTGTGCACGATTGCGCGGGGACGAACCAAGGAGGGCATGGGCAAACACCCTTCTACAAGCCCAGGACTCTATCATTCACCCGCATTTCAGTCACCGTAAGCTCCAGGTGAAAATTACAAACTTTTTTTGTAATTGTATTTGAGTTGACACCGACGAATGTTTACAAGCTTTTTCTGGGCCAATTTGAGTTCACACCTACGAATGTTTGCATAAAGTTGCTATCTGTCTCATCTACAGTGCCTCCCGAATAGCATTCCTGTTCCTTACGGTTTCCCAGATTGTACTGTTTATTTCCCCGGTCCCCTGAAAAATGTATTAATTAGGTTCTACTACAAAAAGTTTAGTATTTCAAATGCTGCCTAAATACAATTCTGTGCATTGTTTGCAATCAAATATGATTTTGGGCACTCTTTGCAATGAGTGTGTTAGCAAAAACCATAAAACTTGCTGGTCTTTGCGTGCCTAAACTTAGCAAAAAGAGAAGGAAGAGGAGAATAAGGAATGGATGGGTTAGGGGTAGAAGTATGAACTTTTTGGTTGGGTGTCTTCATTTCTATAGGTTGTATTCACTGGTGGTCATAGGTGAACTCGCTGCTGCTTTCGAACCACCGGGGAAGAGAGATAGGGGAAAGCTGCTTTTGTATGAATTTTGAGTGAAAGGAAATCTTTTTAGAAGAAGAATAGCGACGTTTGGGGAAGCCTGGGGCATACAAAGGAAAGTCCCGGTGAGAAGAAAGTTTCTCCTTCTCTTGTGACTGCCCGAGAGCTGATGAGAAACTCCTCCCGAGCATGCGCTGTCTGCAGTTACCTCAAATGTGGCGTCCAGTGAATACCACCTATAAAGATGTCATGCTTTAATAACATCATGTTTGAAAAGGCTTTGTTGCTTCGATTAAATACATTGTTTTTCCTGATGTTGTACCTGCCTGTCCTATGCCAAATAAGTTTATTTTTAAAGCTGCAACTTTCTTTCCAAGCACTTCATTCTCGGTACATACAAACCACTTTTTATTTTAAAATGGCCTTTTTACAGGTATCCGGAGTTAAATTTAAACCTAAGGTGTCACACTACGAGAAGAAAATGTCTTTGAAAATGATCAAATACCCTCGTTGTATTTGTATCTTGTGTTTAAATACTTTCTTGAAAAGCGTAATTAGATATTCATTTATATACATTTTTGTCAAAGTATTTTGTATTTGTGTTTGTATATATTTTTGCAAGTAGCCCATTCCTGGAAAGGTGTATAAAAGAAAAGCCGCATTTCAAACTTAAAGGAAGACGGGACACCATTATTTTATGACGCAAATAGCACTTGAGACATGGGAACAGGGGTTTGCAGCCGCTTGACGCTTGAGGGCCGCAGGTTTAAGACCCCTGGTTTAAACCCCGGCATCTATATTTTTTGGGGCATCGGAAGCGTTTGAAAATGATCTCTAGAGGTCGTCCTAAAAAAATTGTAAGATTGGGAACAGCGTCGTTTGAGATTTCAAACACCTGCTCAAGTCACTGTTGTAGATAGTGAAATTGTGCACTCCTGGCCTTTTTTGATGACTTCAAATCTTGAGGGTCATTTAACTTCCTTTCTCCCTCCAATCGACCATTGCAATCATGGGCGCTCACGTCTGCCAACCAGCCAATTGCACGCTTATTTTGCTGTGCATTTGCATGTGTCCTTTCTCTGTCTGCAGGGGATGCATCACATTTGAATTTGATTTTCTTTTTTTAGCAGTTTTCAATTTAGTGGGTTTTAAACATTTTTCAAATAGGCAAGGAAGATAATGATGTATTGCAGACCTTGCCGTGCGACGCGAGGGCAGCCCAAAATTCTTGATCACTTGACAATTGCTCTCTTGAAATCGGAGAGGTTTTCCAGCACTCAAGAAAACTCGTCCGAGCCGTAGCCGACTTCCCAATCCACCTCATCCCTCTCCACGCCCTCGGCACAGCCACCGGGCGCCGCCATACTGAGAGTAAGAAGAGAAAAAACCAGGAGACAGCCGATGCCTCGTCGTTAACACTTCCGTGCTCTGAGCTCTTACATTTTGAAGTCAGCGGTCATAAAGTAAAGGTCGAAAAAACTATATTTTGTGATCAATAATTTAAACACACAAGCAACTTGCAACATCCCTGAATTTTTAAAATAACCCTTGCCTTCTATGTCTTGGAAACGATGCAAGGGATCCCGGATTGTGGGAGCACATAGATGTTTAACAGATCTTTTGCATGCAAGGAAATATTTTTCACAATTAAGTTTCCTAGGAAGTTTTGTCACATGCTTTTAAAGTGCATGAATCATCTATCCAGCAGGGGTGGCCACTCGCTCAAGGTCAAAAACGCAGTTGGACCTGGAACACTGCAGTTTTGCGGCTGGGCGATCTACACTCATTGCCACCCTTTCGCTTGTCAGTGCATAGGTATTTGCTGAAATTGTCAGTTATTGGCTGGCCCATTCAGTAGAAACATGAAATGCAAATTGATTGGGCCATCTAGTTACTGATGGTTTCAGCAGTCGCCTATATAAACCCTTGTGCCAGAGTCTGGTGAATAAATCGACCGACCGGCAAAACTGCTACAGTCTCTACAATCCTGCGGCGATTTCGACTTTGAGTGAGCGTGAGGGAGTGACCTCCTCTGCTCTGGCTGTTGCACTGGCTGCTTTGTCGCAAAGCCATTCTTCGGCTGCCACCAGGATAGTGCTCCCGCAGGAAAAGGCACAGTTTACATGTTCCGTACAAGTTTGGTGCACAACGCACAGTACCCAGTGCGAGTGTATAAATGTAACAATTTGTGTGCAAATAGTGGTGTTTTATAACTAGCCATTCTTCCCATTGCACTGCAGGTGGGCAGCCAAACTGCAGCGAGCACGCGTCACACGCTGGGGCGGCATGATCTCGACACCCGATGCGGTTCTCCAGGCCATGGTAAAACGTGCGCTGACAGACAGTGGCTGCCCGCAGCACATCCTGCAGGCACTGATTGAGAATGCGCACGAACGACGCTGGCCTCCGGGCCTGAGCACTCTGGAGACGCGCCAGATGAACCGGCGCCACTACGAGAGCTACGTCTGCAAGCGTATCCCGGGCAAGCAGGCGGTGGTCGTTGTAGCCTGCGAGAACCAGCACATGAATGAGGACATGGTGCTTGAGCCAGGGCTAGTCATGATCTTCGCCCATGGCATAGAGTGACCCGAATGTACGGCGGAAGTTCTTTGAGACTACTCTGGGTACTTGCACACGGTGTGGCCGTCTGCAGAAACCCCACTCCCAGCTCCGAGAGATCTCACCTGGAGGAGACTTTCCTTGCATTTCCACTTTGGGGCGGGTGGGGCGACCAATGTGAGGTCTGTCCGATGCCTAAGCATGCTCTCTGAAGCTTTATCTTCATTTATGGTGCCGGCTACCTTGGTGCCCCTTGTTTGTGAGACTGTGTGGGCTCTGGCGCTCTCTGGTGGTTTCAAGTTGTTATTACTGGTGGTGTCAAGTTGTCAGTTTTTACCTGTTGCTAGGGGGTGCGGTTTGATGACTAAAGGTGTGCCGCAGTCCCTCATAGATGATGTACGAATGGAATACCAAGCGTGGCCTGTCCATTTCCTTGTGTGAGGTGCTCAGACTTGGTTGTCTCACCAGCGACCTCTCATTTTATTGTTTTACTCATCTTCTTTCGAATCTGTTGCAATGTTCTTTTTGGCATTCTCTGATTTGAACAGCTGTTTCTCTTTTAAGAGCCTGTTGGGTCTGTAGGAGATTTTGCATTTTAAACACATGTTCTTTGTTAATCTTTTAAACGTTTGCACTGTGCATTTTTCTCTCCTGTGTTGCAAAGGAGAATGAGACAGGCCTGCGCATAGTAGCCTGGGAAGTTGCACGCTGTGCAGGTGTCTTCTGAACTCCCTTGCAAGGCCTAGCGAGCCATGACCTGGTTTAGAGTGGCACTTCTGAAGCGTATCTCAACAAGAGCAAAGTCACGCGGTGAAGAGGCGTTTGCTCCGATAAGCTGTGATAGAAACCTATGGTTTTTGTATTGCCTAGAGCCAAATGTTGCGAGTGTATAAAGAGTGGCATAACAAATGGTTAGTTTATGACTTTGTAGTCTGGTCTCATGGTTTGTGTCTGGAGATGATCCCACTTTATTGCAGCTTCTGAAAGTTGTTCAGTGGATTCCTGCAGGGCTGTGGATGAGTCTGCATGTGAATGCAAGTGGAACTGTCGTGTGTGTTTGGGATTTATTTTACTGCCACTCAAAAGTCACCACCCTTTTAGGGCTTGGCAAGCAAAACAACTGCAGTGCAAGTGTTAATGCTCGTTCACACAGTTGTGTTGCGTCGTGCAGTACAGAGCCTCCCTATTAGCTCATCATAAGGGTTGCGATAGCAACAGCTCGATGCAAGCAGTCTTAAAGGGGCACTAAAGTGCTTTTTTGAGATACTCGTTTTATTTTCGTACTTCAATCTGCGAGCTCTAATCATCCTATAAAAAACCAAAATTACATTCATGCACGGCTGATTTGCGTATTAAAAAAATGCGGTGGCTTAGCTCGGCTGTGTCAGGATATACGTAGCGTGAGCTTATGCTCACAAAATGAGAGGCGCTATCAAGCGGCTCCGGTGCAGCGTCGGGCTTGGCTACTGCGCAACGAAGGCGGACAGCTGGGCACGCGGCGGCACCAGTGCGTCTGCCGCGGCTATGATGTCGCTCCTCTGGAATGTGCAGACCGGCGAGGCGCGCACGGTGGTGGTGGTGGAGCGGGCGGCGGCGGCGGCTCCAGCGCGCCAGCTGTGTGCCGTGTGACGTCACTGCTCCTCGCGCATGCACAGACCGGCGAGGCGCGCGCGGCGGTGGCGGCGTCTCTGGCGCGCCAGCTGTGCGCCGTGTGACGTCACTGCTCCTCGCGCTTGCGCAGCACGGAGCACGGCTCATTATACTAGCCACGCGAAACTGCTCAACCTCGGCCAGTGTAGCTCACGCTACAAAAGGTTATCAAAGTTCCCGATGCTTACCGTCGGCGCAGAATGACAGATGGTGCTACCGAACTTTGCTGAATATGGTTGAACGACGGACGGCGCCTGTCAGCCACTCGAGAGCGATGGGTTCCCGCGTGGACGAGTGGGACTGATTGGCCGCACTTCCACATGAGAACCCATCGCTCTCCAGTGGCTGATGGGCGCCGTCTGTAGTTTGGCCATAGTCAGCAAGGTAGCGCCATCTGCCGTTTTGCGCCGACGGTAAGTGTCGTGAACTTTGATCACTTTTTTAATATGCAAATCGGCCACGCATGAATGTAATTTTGGTTTTTTGGGGATGCTTAGAACTCGTAGATTGAATTATGACCATAAAACAAGGATCTCAAAAAGCACTTTAGTGCCCCTTCAACGCTGCCAAATGCAACTGTGTGGACGAGCCTTTTCTCTTGTGTGGTGTGTTTTTGCATCTTGCTATGCAAAGATAGGTACTCCCACATGTGGCATTCCTCTTCCATATGTTCGGCGGTGGCTTTGAACCTGATGCAATAGCTGAATGGAATCGAACTCTCCGCATATTTCGTGAAAGCTGATTTGTGTGCCTTATTTCACTGCAGCAAAACTCTGCGTGCTGCGACTGTTTTCAGTTGTCCTCATACCTGTAAGGTTGCTGTCTGACTTTACCTTCGTACAAAATTGATGGGCTCATTTCATCTTTGTTTGTGTTCTATTTATTTCTAAAGTTATTTACTATGGTCTGTTTTCTTAGCATATCAGATGAATCTTGTATTACCTTTGTAATAAACCAGCACACCAATTGATAATCTGTGCTGCTATTTTTTTCTAGTTGTGCACAATGTCTGCTACTCATAAATTGGTTACTCCATTGGACTTAAAATCCAAAGATGCTGGTGCAGTACTTTCTGTCAGTGTGCTTAAACCTCCTTAACCTGCGCTTTTTACTGTTCACCAGTGGCTTTCAATTTATATTACTATAGTCGGATGCAACCTGAGAACAATCTTTTAGCTCCACCCACAAGCGCATTGCGCCCATTTGAAGTGCCTCCGCCGTCGAGAAAGTAGTTCGCTAGCAACGTTGCTTTTTCTTCCTCCAGGAAACGTGTCTTAAACTACTACAATATTTATTTAATTCATTCAGGACATTTAAATAAGTTAGAATACGTTTTTGTCAACGAAATAGCTGTTTAGTAAAGAAAGAAAGAAATTCATGTCCAATGTACCGTCTTCCCAATTCATTTTCTGTCCAAGATACTGTCTAACATACCGTCTAACATACCTCTCAGCAGTGCTAAGCCTCGCGCCCGCTTCGAAATTTTCGTTGGCGATAGCGTCGCTGGATTCTCACGTTGTCGCGCAAAAACTGCTGCAAACGCAAGCCGATACCATTAAGATTTCGTGGCGTAACCTCGGGCACGTAAAACACGGTGCAAAAAAGCAGAATAATAGTCACGAGAATCTAGCGTCGCGTTGCTAAGGCCTGCAGCCATGTTGAGCTTTTTTTTTTTTTTTTTTTTCAAAAGGATCGCGATTGGTCCACGGAATCGTGATGTCATGGAAACGATTGGCTGGCGTTTCTCGGCGTAGGATTACATTTTCCTCTGAGAGGCATTTCCGGTTTTTTCTTAGCTTGCAACCGACTATAGAAGCAGAATGGAAGCAGCAAATGAAGTTGATTCATTTCAACTGGATTTTCGTTTCATGATTTATCTCTGTGGGCAAAGCAGTCGTTAAATGACACGTAGAGTTGACATCCACCCAGTTTCGAACCGGGTCTTTTTGAGAAATGTTATTCAGATGGCCCCTTCGCCATTTATCTCTAGTTTCCCGCTCGTTGGAAGGAAATAGAGATGTATTGCATGTGAAAAAACAGTTTGCAACCTCTGGCATCATTAAATGTTTCTGGGGAATGTTTATATATGCTGGAATGAAAATTTAGAAAGTGTAATTTAATGTATGTCTCGTTTTAAATGCGTGACCCTGGCAAGTGTTGGAGGATCAGTCATCGCAGTGATAAAATATTCTGAGAGAATCTTAACGTGAGCATGTACGGCAGACACGGACCTGGTTATGAGCTTCCCCCCTCAGCAGCGCCATGTCTTTCAAGTGAACTCTGCCACCTCCTTCCCATGTGGATTGAGGGAACTCGTGCTAACTGTGAATAATGTCGTGTACATGTTGGTTGTCACTTGTAAAAGGTGCTGTTAAGGTCAGTGATGTAATTGCTGCGCCAATTGCGCCAAACTGCGCCAAGGGGCTAACCCTGCTACATCCTGCTACATTTTGCCAAAATATGGATAATCTGCACCAAGCCTGCGCCAAAGGACCAATTTTGGTCGCCTTTCAAAACCGAAACTAAACTGAGTACCGCGTAAGCTAGCTGGCGCAAGCGGCCGCCCTTTTACAAAATACCCGGCATCAATCGTTCGTCCGGTCTTGCATGGTTTTTCCCGCCGTCCCTCGTTTCGCGCTCTCGTTGGCTCGCGTCTTTAAAAAAGAAAATTCAACGATAGACGCGGGCGTGTGCGGACGCTCCGACGCTACTGTTCTGGGTACCAGCCATGTCAACGTTCTGTGAAATAAAACCCCGTTATTGCGCGGCGGGAGTTACTTTGTGAGCAGAAGCACTCGCTCCTGAAAGCAACGGCCGTGGAAAAATTATATTGGGTCCATGCCTGCCAGTCACCGTGGTCGTGCGACGTCGGGTGTTGCCGTCCCCACGTCGCTGCAGATATGGCGCTTCCTAGACTGAAACGCAAAGACCGCCGTATGTTCATAACATTCCTGTCCTTGTTTAATACGCTACTACACAAATTCTTCTAGCTCAAAGACTGCAATGGCGAAGTGTTGATCACCTAGGTTTCTCTCGGTGGGTTTTCTTTCAAGAGGGACCCCAGTACGTGAAAAATCTACCGTGAAAGAAAGTTTGTGAAGAGAAGTGAGCTGAAGCAAAGAAGGCAAAGTCTGCACGCTGAACCCGCACAGCGCGCTTGTTTGTCTCGAGTTCAGTCGTTGCACAAAGCGCTCCAAGAACTTTGTGACGCCGGCTCGCGATGTCTTGCATCGATGTGCTCAGGTTTTTTTCTTCTGTGTGTTTAGCTTGTACCTTGCCTGCCGGCCTGGCAAGCACGTGCCGCTGGACTGTTTTTTGTCGCATGCTGGACAGTTACATTTTGCATACAATTTGGGGAACCAGCTGGCGATGGAGTGGAGTCGCATGGTTTAGATCAAACAGCCATCTCCGCTCGCGCAACAATTTCGCACTGCACTGCAGTAGTTACGTGTTTCATCAATTGGAGACTGCTTCCATTATAGAACTAGCTAGTACACCTAATGCTGTGCTATTTATTACTAAGCTGGTCCTTTTCAAATAGATTTTAATATGTGCAGTGCAGTTTGGTTCTTATATACCTATACACTCCGTGCGGGAACTATAGGGGGCGCTTTGAAATACGCGCGCAGCGCCGCTAGCGGAGGAGCTGGCGTTCGACTGTGAGGAGCGTTCAGCAGCCTGCGGCGCCTTTTCGCATGCCAAGCTGTGGCGGCGGAAGCGCGCACGGACGAAACTTTTGCTTTTTGAGCCGATAAGTTGAGGGTGACGTTGCATGAGTGCTGGGGCAGAAGGGCATTTAGCTGTTCTCCTTTTCTTATATATTGAGTTTGAGTCGTAATTAGGGGTAATTTCTCTGTTTGCGGCCGAAAAAGAAGTTGGAGTAATTTTCCGAAAAACAAGACGGCCGCCACCTTAATTGCTCTGAGTGGGAAATTTATTTCGCTCGTCGCTTTAAACCTAGGACTGCTGGAACGATGATATTTGGAGGCGAGTGAGAGGTTCACTAAGTTTGTGCACGAAGAGAGCCAAGTTTCTTTGACAGCAGGTGTGAAAGTTATGTTTCTAACGAATAAAGAAATAAAGCTGTACGGGATATCCAATATTGGACCCAAAATGTTGTGTTATAGCGGGCTGTGCAAACTGCAGATTTGGGCACACAGGTGCTTGGACTTGACAGTAACATTACAGAGCACTTATTATACAAAAAAAAAAAAAAAGGTGGCATAGGGAAACCAGGCGAAAATTTGGTTTGGGCGGCGTAATTCAATGGGAACCGGTTTTGATCATGAAAAGGCTGTCAAGAGAATACCACTGGTCGGGGGAGGCGGAGACTTTAGAGGTAGGAAGGGACTAGTGGACTGTACTTCCAATTGAAACAACTTTACGAAAGGTGGTTCCAAAGCCGAGAAAACAAAGTTGTCGTCCAACACACGGTTTGGCCGCCAAGGGCTTGTGCGGTCAGCTGTTGTGTAATAACCTGTTGTGCGAGGTGCTGATTTTCGGCGCACAGGTACTTTGACATGACCGTCACTTGGCACAACACTTATTATAACAAAAAGAGTTGGCATAGCGAAACCAGGTGGAAATTTAGTTTGCGCGGCGTAACTAAATGGGAACTGGCTTTGACCGTCAAAGGCTGTCAGATAATACCACTCATCGTGGGAGGTGCACACTTTACAGGTAGGAAGGGACCAGTGGACGGTACTTCCAGTTCGAACCACTTTGCGATAGGTGGCTCCACTGATCTCAATGACAATTGCTGGATCGCGCTTGCCGCTCCCGCAAGTGAAGCCACCGGACGCAACCCCGCTGGGATACGATTTCCCGTTTTGCTAGCCTTTTGCTGCGGTTTTCCAGCGTGCTGTAGACACGTTTTCTACTCGTTCGTCGACATTCGCCGAGGAAGTTTTTTGAGACTCTGTGTATTGTTGAGACTTGCCGTTGTGAACACGTGGAAAATTCTACAAAAGTGCAGTGTCGCAGGAAAAAGGCACAACGCGTCGAAAGGAAGGGCTGGCGGCGTGTTCAAAGCTTCCTTGGCACGCCGAAGTGCCGTGTCTCTGTGCCTTCGCGCGCTTGGATACCGACCAAGAATCGACGCCGTGTGAATGTGTTTAGCGAGTGCAATGTGCGTGAAGCCGTATCAAAAGGTACAACTCGTCGAAAACGTGTCGCCGGAGTCGCGGCGTGATCAAAGCTTCCTTGGCACGCTGAGTGATGCATCTTTGTGCCTTCGCACGCTTGGATACCGGTCAAGAATTGACGCCGCGCCAAAGTTCTGAACGTGTGTCGCGCGTAGATGCCTTTAGATCATTTATATATATCGCCCACGGAGTTCTGGATCGTCCAGCTGTTCCGGTGAGTTGCTATCAATAAAAGGGGGAGATCTCTACGTGTTCTTATGTACTATATTAACCATGGCTATGTCCCAAATCTAACTCTAATAGATTCCGTGGGAGCACGAATAGGGCAACGTTGTGGAGCCAGGGGGGTTTTCGAAAGCAAAAGTAAAAGACCACGAGAATGAAAATCTTTAAAGCGCGGCCGATATGGTCGTGTGCAATCTGTTGACCAATTATACAATTAGGCGAGCCGCGCTCAAACGTCAAGTGCAATTAAGTAGGTTGATAATAAGCCAGCACTGATCAGTGATGAGGAGCTGTTGTGCACGGTATTGTGTAAATCGTCTAAGGACGAAAAAAAGACGTACCTTCCCCCCATCTTCCGTCGCTAATGGACGCTGGATTAAGCTTGTTCCTAAACCGCGAGGGGAAAAGACGCTGATCCAGAGGCACTAACAGCTTCACGCACATTGCACTCGCTAAACACATACACACGGCGTCGGTTCTTGGTCGGTATCCAAGCGTGCGAAGGCACAGAGACACGGCACTTCGGCGTGTCAAGGAAGCTTTGAACACGCCGCCAGGCCTTCCTTTCGACGCGTTGTGCCTTTTTCCTGCGACACTGCACTTTCGTAAAATTTTCCACGTGTTCA